TATTTTTATACTCCTTGTGCAGGTTTTTTCTTGGGATTAGTCAGGAAACTACAACCTGGTGTGGAATATAGGTACTGAGTTGAGCAACAGGGTGTACACACATTGCATGTGTTTCTGAAACAAGCTCATTGGCTTCCTGCTTGATTCTGGGATGTCCTGGATGTAAGCCAGCATAAAATATTCAGTAGGATTTTGACCAATGTTTAAGAAATAGTAAAATAGTAGAATGCACTGACTGGTCTATGATTCCTTTTTTTTTTCCTTAACAAGAGAAAGAGGTTAATAAAGCCGATGACAAATTTGTGTACAGTGTAAATGTTCTAAGTCTTGTATTAGAAGGAACAAATGATCAGAAATTGAAGCTGAGCATGTAAATTTCAGTACAGTGGTGCCTCACATTACGATGTTAATTCATTCCAGTGAAATCACTGTAGAACGAAAACATCGTAAAGCGAAATTAAAAAGCCCATAGAAACGCATTAAAACCCGATTAATGTGTTCCTATGGGCTTGAAACTCACCGTCCAGCGAAGATCCTCCATAGCGTGGCCATTTTCGCTGCCCGTGCAGCGAGGAATCTGTCCCAGAAAAGAGCGGGGAGCCATTTTTTTTACCCAGTGGCCATTTTGAAACAGCTGATCAGTTGTAGGAAAATCATCGTTTTGCGGGAATCGGTTCCCGAAGCAGGGAACCGATCATCAAAAGCGAAATTCCCCCATAGGAAACATTGTTTTGTGATCGCTTTTGCGATCGCAAAAACTTCGTCATAATGCGATTTCGTCATAAAACGGAGCGCTTGTCTTGCGAGGCACCACTGTATCTTGTTTACAGTCTGGTCCAGGTCCTGCTTCTCCATCTCCTTGCTTTCTTTCTAAGCACAATATCTTTTGTCCGCTGGACCCAAGGAAGATACACTCTCAGACTCTCATTTCTCTATGATGTCTCCCTTTATCAGCCCCACCTCTGCCTCCACTTTCCTTCTATCAGGTCCTCTTTTTATCCACTACCTGCTCTGGGTCATGTATCTTTAGTATTCTGTTCTGAGCTCTTTTGCTACTGTGAAATTGTGCTCGATTGGGACTTTTGCTGGGTTAGACAAGCATCTCTTACTCTCCAACAAAATATCTATAATTCTTTTTGGATGAATACGAACAGAGATATTAAGATAAGGATGAACAAGCCATACTGTTTTCATGACCATTTCTACTGTTAGACTGTAGAAATGCTTTGGTAATTCTTAACTCATTATTATTGGGAACATCTCTGGAAGAATAACTAGAGACATTGCCAAAGGATTCTGACTGGCTGAAATGAATTTCATCACCAGTACTGGATTAACAAAGGCTGCTAACTTGTTTGTTCATGAAGATTACCAAAACACTGTACCTCGGGGAGAAGAAACTTTAACTGAAAGATTATACAGGGATTCAAATCTCTCTTACATTCATTATCACAGCCTTGAAATTTTAAGGTAGGATAGGGATTATAGTTCAGAACACAATAGTGTGGTACCGTAAGCATCATGAAATTAAAGGAAAAAACACCAAAAACACCTCCTCCTTGCAGAGGATCTGGAAGCCTTAGTGTTTTATCTGTATGTGTTAGAAAACTTCAGTGAGTTATTTGTCACCTAAAAAAGAGGAGATTCTCCTTTCCTAGCTTCATACAGGACACTGGTACACCTTCAGTAGTCTGACATACAGCTTTTTGCCCCTTCTTTTTAAAATGCTTAGGAGACTTAGTGGCAAGTAGCAGGAGGAGGCAACTGTTTGCATCCTTTCTCTGATGTCAACAGCTACCCTTCCATCAGGAAACAAAGGCTTGGTCCATGCCAGTGGTGGATTCTCCGCCCTTAGAAGATGCCTGACCATGACAGACAATGAAGCCAAGTCTACACATGATCATTCCTTACAAGCTGTCAGTTCTATTAGAGCAGAAGGCTATGTATCTCTCTATTGACTCTTATTTCCCTTCAGGCAAAATGTTTTCAGAGGAAAATATTAAAAAGGCATACACATGAAAGAACAGATAAACATGCTAAACTTGTTATTACTTCAGGTGTTAGTTTGGGTTCAATCTATCTAAAAGACCATATTCCCGTTTATGAACCTATCCAGATATTAGGATCATCAGGAGAGGCCTTTCTCTCAGTCCCACAACCCTCACAGGTGTGTTTGCTTAGAACATGGGAGAGGGCCTTCTCTGTCATTGCTACCAGACTCTACAACTCCTTCCCATGGGAGGCCAGGGTGACCCCATCTTTGTTGTTTGTCTACAAGCAGATACTTTTCTCTTCATGCAAGCTTTTCTTTAAATGACTGGTTGACCAAGGGGATTTTTAAAAGAGATTATTGTATTCTATTACTTGTGTTTTTAATACTGGTCTTATTTGTGAGTTTTTAATATATTATTAGTAGTAGTTTTATTTACATGCCACATTTCTCCCAACAAGGGACCCAAAGTGGCTCAAAATATTAAAATTCACACAATTATAAACACAATAAGCTAAATATTAAAAGACAAATGAAACAATATATGATTTAAAACAAAATTAAAAGAGTAAAACATGGAAAAGATTAAAATATCTGCTAAAATGGGGTTCAGGGACTCAGTTGTAATTGTTAAAAGCCTGCCTGAAGAGATGGGTCTTTAGCTTTTTTTTGCAAGGATAAAAGGAAAGGCGCCACCCTGATCTCCCGAAGGAGAGCGTTCCATAGCCTGGGAGCTGCCACAGAGAAGGCCCTCTCCCGTGTCCCCATCAGCTGTGCTTGTGCTGGCAAGGGGACCGAGAGGAGGGTCTCCTCTGCTGCTCTTAATCACTAAGAAGGTGCATATAGGGAGATACGGTCCTTCAGGTAGCCTGGACCGAAGCTGTATAGGGCTTTATAGGTAACGACCAGCACTTTGAATTGGGTCTGGAAACGGACTTGGTAGCCATTGCAGTTCTTGTAACAGGTGTGTTATATGCTCCCTGTAGCTGGCCCCAGTCAGTAGTCTGGCTGCAGAGTTTTGCACCAGCTGAAGTTTCCAAACGGTCTTCAACGACAGCCCCACATAGAGCGTGTTACAGTAATCCAAACAGGATGTAACTAAGGCATGTGTAACCAAATCCAACATCTCAATATATCTGTTTAATGTTTTTTTAATATTGTAATAATTTATTACATAGCTTTTAACTTTATTTTATTTATTACTTCAAGCAGTCTTGGATCCATTAGACGGCATATATAGATTTTAAATAAATAAATAAAATAAAGTTAAAATAGATTTCATTTGAAAAGTTTCAGACCCTATAGATCATCAGAATTCTTAGGTGAAGGCTATGTAAGTTTTGAGTGCATGGCAGGTTTTCTGTCTAATATTAGTAGCAATGTCGGCTGCAGCATTCTTAGGATAAACTTGTCTGATGCCAGACAAGTTTCACAAAGTTTCAATTTTTTTTCTCAAGAGGAGAGAATGAAATATAAGATTATGAAGATTTGACAAATGAAACATTTTGCAGCGACAACAAAAGAAAAAGCAAAATAGAAAGTATTCAATGCAGCATTTTCCAAAAACAGTAAAAAAAAATTGTAGGTTTTTAAATATAAAATGAATTTATGGTCATATTACTTTACATATATTTTACAAAACATTAGCTGGTATTTATGCCTAATTCATTCCCATTTTCTTTCTGAAAGCCTTCTGTAACAACAAAAACTGGTAAAAGTGACAGTTTTTTGTATTTTAAATGTGACGATTTAAACTTCATAATGGGAAATAAAGCAAAATTATAGTAAAAACTGCTTCTTAACAAGCGGTTGTAAAAAAGCACTTTTGTATCCCACATACATTTTATCTCATAGTATAAGGAGGGCAACTGCCAGATATACTGTAGTAATTGCGCAAAAAGGGAAGACTGTGATATAAATCATCAAAGGTTAATGTTCAGAATGAGAACACAGGGACTTGTTTACAGAAATAGCATGCAATTTAAAATTTACAAGAGATTTAATGCTGTCTCTTCTCAATCAGTAAAACCAATAGCCCAGAAAATGGTGACATTAAGAAAAATATTATAGTTATAATAATCCCAAAATAAGTCAATTAGTGTAAGGGCATGTGCTTGTGATTACTTGACCCATTTGGTTTGCACTTAAGTGAAAAAAATGCCCCTATTACAAGGAGATTACTGAATTGTGACCTATTTTGCATCAAGCATTTTGTATGCCATCACCATTCACACACTCTCTGAAGTGGTGGCTGAAGCTTTTTTTCCCTACTTTCTTGGTTTCTGAGTAATTTTGACCTTTGACATTACAGGAAAAAAAAACCCAGAAAAGAAAAGAAAAGAAAGCACCTTATAATTGCATTGTTCAAATGAAGGTGAAGGAAACAAATCCAATCTGCTATTATACAAAAGCCATGATGGCTGTCTTCACTGAAAACAGCAATGTAAGTCAATTTGTGAACTTTGGCACTAGGCGACCTTTAGAAATACAACAATATACAGAATTTACAAGCAAGAGTAGCACATGCAAATGGTCTGGCTCTGTCTCGCTTTTGGATTATGGAGAATGCTTTCACAAAACAAATTAAGACTGTTACTTAAATGTCACAGCACACTATTGTATTTGGCTACAGATCATTACACCTGATACCAACACTTTGAAAAACTGTAATAACTTGGGAAATATTACACTGGGTGCCCACATATATAAAGGGAAAATAAAAAAAAATGAAGAAAATGGTTTCTTGAAGTAATTTAAACATCACTACTCCACAACTAGAGGGAAAGGTCAAAATTTAAGTAAACTGAAAGGAACATGAATGGCAAAATAAAACACAAAAAGAAAGATGAAAAGACCAGGGGAATGAGTCTGCAAACACAACATGAAAACACGCATGCTTTGGGCAAATTTTTACTTCTATCCTCATATTTAGGGAAAAGAGAGAAACAGGGAAGATTCAGCTTGGGAAAAGGAGCAGTTACTCTACAACATGGTGTTTTAATTTTGTTACCTTCAGTGTTGGTGCTGCTGCTGCTGTATATATTTCGCAGGCTACCAACACGATTTAGTTTCCATGCTTTGCGTTTGGCTGCATCCAGAGAGCAGAAAGCAGAGAGAGAGAGAGAGAGAGAGAGAGAGAGAGAAGAGAGAAGAGAAGAGAAGAGAATAAAAGAAAGAACAGAAAAAATATGAAAAAATGGGAGGGGAAAAAGTTTGAAGCAGCATATGAAACAAAATACACAAGCAAATGCCTATCTGGAAAACATACACATGCTGAATACTGAAAATCTTAAAACAATTTGCTTTTCCAAGCAAGAAGATTCTGTTTGATAAAAGTTCACCACTTTTTGAGAACCTTAAATCTGACTTCATCACCAAAACATAAAAGCCAAAGGAACTGAAAAGGTATTCTCCATTCCCTTTTAACACAGCTTAGACTAGTGGAAGATAAAAGTCAGAATCCCCACTTAAAAAAATGATTGGAATATGTAAATCACTAGATATTTCCAGAAATTGATGTTCAATCTATTGACGACAGAGTGATACATGTTGACAATGCAAACAACCTCAGATATGCTTTTATTTACCAAAATGTTATTTAATTAATAATAGTTCTAACTTAACCAGATACTGTAATTTTTTTCTTCCCTCAAATAATATACAATTGCTTTTTGAGGGGTAAGATTTCCAAATGAAGATGCACTGTTCACATTTTTCTCCAGATGATTATGTCCAATATTCTTAGGGTTAATGTATACAGTACAGTATTTATTTATTATCATCTAGTGTTCCTCATTTGAAGGAGCTCAGAGAGTGTAAACTGATTATTTATGGAACAATCTATATACTTCTTTTTCAAGAATGCAAGTCCTGAGTTTGCTAAAGGCTGGCAGTGCATATTCTCACTATATATACCGTATTATCTTACAGTATTTTCTTTGAAATGAGAGAGTTTACTTATAACTCTCAATCCTGCAAGTCTGAGCAACCATGTACCTTGCATACTCTCCCTCCTTTTTCCTTCTTCATTATGGCTTTGAAGAGGCTAGAAACTTTTACTACAGCTTGAGATATTCTTGAATAGCATGAATATCAGTTCTTTTATATCACAAACAGATATTTAACTATGTGGTGACACATAAGTAAGATCTGTTGAAACAAAATAACTTTAAACCAGGGTTAATGAAGCTGGTTTGTTTCACTTAATCATAGCTAATATTAAGCACTTAATAGTAGCTGTTCTAACTGTGCTGGAAGTGTTTTGTGTGAGCCTGAGACCTACTATGGCTTATATGCATAACACTAAATTGTGGTTTATTTCATCCAAACCACACCACTGACTGACTAGCTCAGAATGACAGCAAAGAAACTTGGTGAGTAGCATTTGAACACAAATTTCTCAGCTGAAATCTGAAATGGGCATTGATTCTCTGGATGATAATTGAAAGTATGTTCTTGTCACATTTTACTAAGAGCCAAAATTTGTACCATTTGAGGGGGAGGCAAAGGAGGGAAAAAGAAGCAAATTTCATAGCAGAATGATGCACTGAGCGAAGAAGTAAATGTTTTTGCCTGTCCTGAACTTTCAGGCAATTTGTTTATTGGGAGATACACGGCTATAGTATTAAGACAAGTATTGTATTCTAAACAATTGTGACAGCTTTTAGCTAATACAATAAACTTAAACTTGGAAGTACAGAAAAAAGATGTAATCTCTAATAACTTTCCCCATAATTTATGGTTTTATAAACCACTATCATATTTCCTGTTACTCACCTTATTTTCTCAACTAAAAAGCCTTTAATGTTACAGCTTCTTTTGAAGTAGAAGCAATTAAGCCCACTGGTAATTTGACTGCCTTTTTCTGTACCTATTCCACAATATGCTTTTTGAGATAGAGAATGCAGAACTATACATAGTATTACAAATGTGGTTACACCATGGATTTGTATGGAGGGACTATGAAACTGGTACCCTTACTTCAAATCCCTTTCCTAATGACCCCTTACATGGATTTGCCTTTTTCACTGTTGCTGTACACCAGGTCAATATTTTCACTGTCTATCCTGTCCCCCAAATCCCTTTTTTGATCAGCCACTGTCAGTTCAGTTTGTGTCAATATTTAACATCAGCCATGCAGGACTGGAAACTGAAGAAAAACATCTAGTTCCAACCACTAGGTAACACTGTAAATTTAGCTTCAATTGGTTTCTCCTAGTGGGTAGACTAAATTCTAATCCCAATACTCTGATGGAGGCTTTTCGCTTTTCTTGATTATCTTTTCCCCAGCCAAACAGGAACATTATCTTCTTTTGAATTTCAAAAGGCGGCAATGTAGGGTGCAAATGCAGATTTGGCCACTCTTTGTTTGAAGAACTGGGAGGAGAAATCCAGTGAACTGCAGCCTGGGGTAGAGTTTGAAACCACACTCCCAATGGCATTTGCAGTTTGTGTTTGAACTCACCTTAAGAAAAAGGCCTGACACAATCATTTGTCATGAATTTTTTGGCCTCTCATTGACATTTTTTCTGCACTACCCAAAAAGGACAGGTTACTTACCTGTAAACATGGTTCTTCAAGTGGATCTCTATGAGTACACACCAGTGGGTTAAACAGCGCCTGCACTGGTCCTCTCGGAATTTTCTAGAGCTCTGAGAGAAAAGTAACAAAGTTTAGGTTGCCCTATACCGCGCACGCTCCGCCCGCCAAGCCTTAGTTCCATATGCCCGCCATATAGCCAGAGTTGGATCTGACTACACAGTGACGGCCAATGGAGAGGCTGAGCGGGATGTGTGTATTCACAGAGATCCGCTTGAAGAACCATGTTTACAGGTAAGTAACCTGTCCTTCTTCAATGTGGTCTCTATGAATCCACACCAGTGTAGGCTCACTTACCGGATGGTGGGCCATCACTGCAGAAGCGACGTAAGCACTGCTCTCCCAAACTTGATCTCAGTCTTGGCCTGAAGGTCCAATCTGTAATGTGTGATGAAGGTAGACACATTGGACCATGTAGCTGCTTTACAGATGTCAGGGATGTCAACTCCCTGCAGCAGGGCCGTAGAAGTGGCAACAGCTCTGGTGGAATGAGCTCGAAGGCCTTCAGGGAGAGGCTTGTTCTGTAGTTCATAGGCCAGAGAAATGGTGGAAACCAACCATCTGGACAGAGTAGATGAAGAGGCAGCAGAACCTTTACGCCAACCATAAAAACAGATGAACAGTCTTTGAACATTTCTGAAGTCCTTGGTTCTTGTAACATAAAAAGATAGTGCACGTCGAACATCTAAAGAGTGGAGCATGCGCTCAACATCAGAAACTGGATTAGGAAGTAACATAGGCAACATTAATGGTTGATTTACGTGAAAGTCAGAAACAACTTTAGGAAGAAAGGAAAAATCAGGGTGCAGAACAACTTTGTCCTTAAAAAACTGAAGGTATGGAGAGTCTGCACAAAGTGCTGCTAGTTCACTGGCTCTGCGGGCCGAAGTGATAGCCACCAGAAACAAAGTTTTAAATGAAAGCAGCCGAAGGTCACAAGTAGCCATAGGCTCGAATGGAGGCCGAGTAAGAGCATGAAGTACCATCTGTAATGACCATTGTGGTACTGTTTTTTTTTTTTACGGGGGTGGTGGTCTCGTGTTGGAAAGACCTTTGAAAAATGCTTTCAGCGTAGGATGGGAAAACTATCTGGATGTTTGAGAGCCATGAGGCTGAAAGGCAACAATGGCTGAAGTGTATACCTTTAAAGTAGACTTAGAAAGACCCAGGTCAAATAAATGCCAGAGATACAGGAGGGGTATAGACAGAGCCACTGGTGAAGGCTGTAGTTTGCGCTCTTCTGCATACTTGAGGAAATTTTGCCACTTGCATTTGTACAGCAGCTTGGTGGCTGGCTTCCTGGCTCTATCAAGTACTTCAGTTATTGATGGGATATCCTCCACGCTGTCAAGTGGAGGGACTCTTAAGTCCGGGTGAAGGACATTCCCTGAGTCTTGGGTGAGCAGATGTGGAATAAGGGGCAGCTGCATCTTGTCCACCGCTGATTGCAGGAGCATGGAGAACCATGGTTGTCGTGGCCACCAGGGAGCAATCAAAATTGTTTCTGCTTTCATCTGGAGTGTCCTGATAAGGGCTCTTTGGATGATGGGTATCAGTGGAAAAAGGTAAAGGAGGCCCTTGTTCCAGGGGATCATGAAGGCATCCCCTAGTGACCCTTTGCCTCTTCCTGCCCAGGAGGCATACCTGCCACTCTTGGTGTTGCTCTGTGAGGCAAACATGTCCATCGAGGGTGTCCCCCATCGGAGGCAGAGGGTTTGGAACACATCTGGATCCAGTTCCCACTCGTGAGTTTGAAATGAGTGATGGATCAATTTGTCTGCCAGCTGATTGTCTGTCGTGGAGACATGAATGGCCACTGGAAAGATGTGTTGCTGGTAACACCACTCCCATAGGTGGACTGTCAGAAGCAATAGAGATTTTGACCTTGTTCCTCCTTGCTTGTTTACATAGAACATGGTCGTGGTACTGTCTATCACCAACTGTATTGCTCTGACTTGCACCAGAGGAAGGAAGGCCCTGAGTGCTTTTATGACCGCCAGAAGCTCCAGATGGTTGATGTGGAGTGATGCTTCTTGAGGAGACCACAGAGCGTGAATCTGGTGACCCTTGCAGTGAGCTCCCCAACCTAGGGGACTGGCGTCTGTTGTTACTTGACATGTGAGTTGTAGAGGGTGAAGTGAACGCCCTACCAAGAGATGTGGCAAGAATGTCCACCACTGAAGTTGTTGAGCAAGTTCTGGAGTGACCGTCAGGCGCTTGTACTGACTGTGTCGAAGAGGGTTGAAAAGTGTGAGCATCCAGGACTGAAGGGAGCACATCTTGAGACGAGCATAAGATAGCACAGATGATGTTGAGGCCATCAGACCTAGAAGATGTTGGGTGAGTTTTGCTGATACCCTTGCATGAGGTTTGAATTTCCGTATTGCCTTCCTTATTTTGTGTATGCGTTCTGGTGGCAGGAACATACGAGCATGGATAGAGTCCAGTCTTGCCCTGATATAATCCATCACTTGGGACGGTTCCAGATTG